CCAAAACAACGTGAGGAGGAAGAGGCTACCGCCTGAGAGGTCCCAGGAAAAAAGAGATAAAAAAAAGAAAAAAAAAAAAAACGCGACGAGGAAGATGCTCCCGCCTGAGAGGTCCCAAAACAACTCTCTTGGGAGGAGGCTCCCGCCTGGGAGGTCCCAAAAAAACAAACAGGAGGAGGCTCCCGCCTGAGAGGTCCCCAAAAAACCAAAAGAAACCCAAACACCATGCCTCTCATCCCTGTAACAGTCAAAAAAAAAACAATAAAAAAAAAGTTCCAGAGGAGATGGCGGCCCTCGTCAATGCATCTGGGGCAGCGACGTCCGTTCTCCTCTGGAACTTTTTTTTTTTGTTGTTCTTTTCTTTTTTTCTTTTTTTTTATGATTTTTTGGTACAGTTACAGGGATGAGGGGCATGGTGTTTGGGCTTCTTTTGGTTTTTTGGGGACCTCTCAGGCGGGAGCCTCCTCCTGTTTGGTGTTTTTGGGGACCTCTCAGGCGGAAGCCTCCTCCCAAGAGAGTTTTTTGGGGACCTCTCAGGCGGGAGCCTCCATTTGACTCTGTTTTTTTGGGACCTCTCAGGCGGGAGCCTCTTCCTCCTCACGTTTCTTTGGGACCTCTCAGGCGGGAGCCTCTTCCTCTTCGCGTTTTTTGGGGACCTCCCAGGCGGGAGCCTCTTCCTCCTCACGTCTTTTTGGGACCTCTCAGGCGGGAGCCTCTTCCTCTTCGCGTTTTTTTGGGGACCTCTCAGGCGGTAGCCTTTTCCTCTTCACGTTTTTTGGGGACCTCTCAGGCGGGAGCTTCAACACAATCAACACAATCAACATCAACAGAATGAGGTAGGTCCCTGATGGAGACGGGTACCTTTCAATTGTATGGTTTTCTTATTGTGTTTGAGTGTGTTGGTGTGTTATTGGTGTTGATTTTGATGCTATCAATTGCAAACGTTCTTGCAACAACACAGGGTCAACACCTACATCAACATATGAACGAACTTCACCGCTTAAAGCCCTCGGGCTTGCATTTGTGAAGATGGGGTCCCCGTGGGGGGGGGGGCTACCATATATATATATATATATATATATATATATATATATATATATATATATATATATTATATTATATATATATGCATGCATGCATGCATGCATGCATGCATGCAGCATACATATGCACGTATCTACAACTATACATCCATGCATGCATACATGCATGCGTAGCTAAAAATACCTACATACAAACATGCATAGACACACACACACACACAATACATACATACATATACATGTTGGCGGTGCGCCGTGGCACGAACCCCCCCCCCCAGCACTACCGGGGGGTTTCGTGCACTACCGGGGGGTTTCGTGCAGCCCGCACCGGGTGCCGCCAGCGGCTTAGAACACCCCCTTGCCGCTTTACCGGGGGGTTCGTGCAGGCCGCATTGGGTCCTCCCCTGTCGCTTTACCGGGGGGGTTCGTGCAGGCCGCGCTGCGTCTACCTGGGCTCCCCCCCCCTGTGGGAGTGGGGGGGTGGGAGTGGGGGGTGGGTTGGGGGGGGTGGCAGGGGGGCCGTTGGGAAGGGTGGCTCCCTGTCGAAGTGTGGCGTGTGCTCGCCTTGTGTTCTCTATTCGCGTCTGCTCGCCTTTGTTCCGCCGCAGCCTCTCGTATATAGGCCACAATACGAGAGGCTGCGGCGCAACTCCCAAGAGCCGCTGGGGGGGGTCGACGGCACGGCCGCGTAGAGAAGAGCAGTGCCGCCGTGTTCCGGCACGGCCCTGGGATGCAATGCCGCCGCCGTGTTCCGGCCCGTCGTGGTAAGATTCGCGCGTCGGGGCTGGGGTTCGCGCGTGCCGGGAGCGCGCCGCTTACGGAGGGGTTGCGTCCTTACCGGGGGTTTCGTGCAGCCTACCAGAGGAGGTCGTGTTTACCGGGGGGGTTCGTGCAGGCTCGCACCGGGAATGGCGCCAGCTCGAACCCCCCCGGGAGAGATTACCGGGGGGGGGGTTCGCTCCGCACCGGGCACCGCCGACATACATACATACACACACACAGACAGACAGACAGACAGACAGACAGACAGACAGACAGACAGACAGACAGACAGACAGACAGACAGACATGAAGACAGACAGACATACGTGCGTACGTACATATATACATACATACATCTGTATATCTATATATATATACATATATGTAAATGCATATGGATATATATATATATATATACACACATATATAGAAGTATCCACGCAGGGGCGCCTTGCCTCTAGGGCGGCGGTTTGGACTGTCAGGTGACTCCCGAGCTGGCTGAGGTCGCGCGATGGGGGCTGGTGGGCTTTGCGTTTCTTCCCTTTTGAACTCCAGGAGGGCGTGGAGGCTGGTATTAGCGGCCGCGCGAAACAATTGCTCAGAAATGTGTTTTCCAACCTAGCGTAATGTGAGCTTACCACTGGCATCTGACTCCCCAACAAACACGGCGGACGTACCCAAATACACTGGGAGATGTTCCCGCGTAGTGCTAGATGAAGAGGCAGACGAACATTGCTGATCAGTGAAGGGTGCTCCGGGATTCAAGGCCTGCATCTGTTGTAGGAACGTGGTTCGGACGCCCGGGTACAAGCTAGAAGGTTATGTGTAAATATCTCCGAGACGCCCGTCCATTCGACTTCGTGTTGCACACGCCAGGTTACATTCGCGCGCATGGTGGATGGACTCTAGAGGGCAAAACCACTGTTGGCCCCAGGCTGATTCGCAGAGGGAAAAACTAGCTGCGCAAACTACGAACCTCAATCGATGTTGTACGATGTACGACCCCCTCCTCAATCAATACCTAAATCCTATGAAGCACACCTACTCGGATTGGATGCGTAATATGGTGGCATCAGGGGGGCCAAGTAGAGGCCAACGCTTATTGCGCGAGGCTTGAAGCTTGAAGCCGAACCCTACTGGATAGATTCACAGATTTCAACCTTCGACCCAGTGGCCGAATGGCTCACTGCCCGCGACATTCGTTCCTGCCCACGTTCAGCGTGATGGATGGAAAATGAGAGCATGGGCAAACGAAGCGATCTTCGCCGTACACGATTTGGTCAAGTTCGCCGAGCTCACGATAGTTCTGAGCGGGGAGCTGCTGGGGGAGACGCGTTGTTTGAGCCTGATGTCAAGTGCGCCGTCAATAACACCAGGGACTTCGAGGCCACCCTGACTGATCACCACAGGCTCATCAAAAAACAATACGGGGCATCCTTTGTCAAACCCAAGTTGCATGTCTCGCATCCCATCCCTCGCAACATCGACGACGCAGGCGATGTTTTGTCATGCTTGTCCACAGGACGCAAGCAGAAGTTTGCGAAGGACATTGGGCAACACTCGAGCGGCGAACATTGGAAATATCAAGTTCTGAAACGACAAGCGTTGGACGTCCGCTCGCGGATCTACGGTGAACTCAAGTCTGAGTGGTTAGCAGGTAGGGTGTTTCACCGTAACAACTCTGCTTGATCGATACAGCAGGCGCACGGTACCGTTCACATCGGCTCGGCCCAGCCATCAATTGAGATCGTGACTGAAATCGGTAAACTGCGCCAGAACATCTACTCCTGGCGGGCATCGCTAGGGGAACATATGCAAGTTTGGTTGGTGGGCGCCCAGCGCTACCTGAGGAAGAGCCGCACTGCGTAGCATGGGTCCCCTTCGTGTCCAGCCCGTGTGGCCTCTGGGCCCCGAGTGCGCTCGAAAAGTGTTGCAGCGCAACTCGCGAAGTCGTGCGGGCCATCGCCATCGCCGGATACCACGATGGGGTTTAGCCGATCGTGCCGCAGCTCCCAGGCTTGAATCTCATCTGAGCACTTGTATGTGCATCTCGCCCGATGCGTACGCAACGCCAACTATCGCAAAAAGTATCCTCCGCCTCCTCCACACCGTCATCGTCACCATCCTTCCCCTCCGCCCAATTCGTTGCTCAGATGCTTGGGAGTTGGCTCGCCACTCCGCCTCCTCAACATCATGCCTCTCTGTATCATCATTCATTGTCCATGCGTCTGGGAATTGGCTCGCCGCTCTGACCTCCTCTCGGCGCTGGACAAACCTCCCTTTAGTAGACCTCCCCTTAGTGAAATCGGCCTGGGACCGAAACCGACGGACCTGGACCCGCAAAAATGACGGCCGCGACGCCTCTCGCGAACCGAAAACGGCCAATTCCTTAATCGACGTGTCAGGGTAGAAGGTCTGTCCACCCCCGATCCTCCTCATCGTGCCCCTCTGTCTCATTGCTCATGCGTCTGGGAGTTGGCTCACCGCTCCGATGGGGGGGATGGGAGGGGGGGCGGCGAAGGAAGGGGAGATGGAAGGAAAAGGCAATCTGGGCAGAGGGGAAGGGAATGCGAACGCGGGGGGCGGGGCCCAACACGCCATGGCGACTACTCCATATTCCGAGTTTCTCAATAAGCGTCGGGGGGGCGTCACCCCCGCCGACAGCCCCACATCGACCCCCGTCGCGGGCAGCCACCGCGCACCGAAGGCGCTCCGACCCCCGTCGCGGCGCGACGACGAGGCGAGGTTGACCCCCCTCGGGGGTACCCCCCACGCTTATCAAGAAACCCAGAGTAGCCATTTTGGGATCAAGCGTGGCATCTTCCGCGGTACATTCCGCCTCCCCGGCGAATGTGGCTGCTGACTTTCACATCCAAGCTTCGGATGCTCAAGGGCGGCACTCTGACGAAGAGGGACAAGGCGCGAACACGTGCAGAACCTAACTCACCGCGCACATTTCTCGGATCGGCGCTGGGCCCCCCCCCGGAGGCGCTTCCGGCGCCGCCCCGGCCGCGCTCCGCACGCCGGCGAGGGTGCCCAGCGACGATCCAAGACGTCCGCACGGAGCTCCAGAAGTCTCTGCCTCCGCCGCTGCTTCTCACTCGATTCCTCCCACAACGCCCCCCCTCCCTTCCCTGCTTCCTCGTCCTGCCGCTCGTCCCTGCGAGGGCCGAAGGCGACGCTGAGGGCGAGCACCACTCCCGCTGGAGCGCACCGGCGGGGCCGCCGACGTCTGCGCTGGCCCGCATGGCCCTGCACGCTGCGACCGCCTGCCGGGCCCGCCGCGCGCGGAGAGGACCCATCTCGTCCCTGCGGCCTCACGCGCTCGTCCCCCTCCATCGCACCTCGCGCCCTCGCGTAACCCTCGCGTCTCGTCCTGCCCCCCCCTGCCTGCCCGCCACCCCCTCCCCCGTCTCCGCTCCCCTTCCTCTCCTCGTCCCTGCTGCCCTGTGCCTCCCCCGCCCTCCATGCCCCCACCTCCTCTCGGCTCCCGCCCTCCGCACTCCTCCCTCCTTTTTGTTTACTCTTTCTCCTTCACTTTCTCTCTCTCTCTCTCTTGCTCTCTCTCTCTCTATTGCTCTCTCTCTCTCTGTTTATCTCTCTCTATTGTTTCTCCCTTTCTCTATCTCTCTCTCTCTCTCTCTCCTCCGTTCATCCTCTGACCTCCCTCTCCTCCATCGCCTCTCCTGCCTCGTGCCACGTCCTCCTGTCCTCCTCATCCGTGTCGTCCTCGCCCTCCTCCTATGCTATGGTATGCGCAGATGAATAATCTGTCGGAACCAGACTCTGAAAACGACAAAACACGGCTCAGTCCTGACCTCCGCTTTGGGCGCCCACCTGACTGGCGGGAAGAATCCCGAACCTGGTGAGCAGCTGTGGGATTGCCCACGTTTCCCCAAAGTTCTTCGCCCTCCTCCTGCTCGCTTCGGCTCGGTCTACGGCGGGGGGCTCGATGCCGAAATGGAGAGAAAGCAACGAGACAGAACACTGGGTGAAGAGCAAAGCAAAGGCAACACCAGGTCCTGAAGCGGAGCATGGTGAAGCCGCGCCGCGGCGCAACACCATAGGATGAGGAGCGTGCCACGCGCTATTACCTTTTAAAAGGGTGTACACTAAGAGCGGGTGCCAGGAAAAGACAAAACCTTCACGCAAGACGGGTGCACTGCTGGCGCACCAACGAGCCGTCAACAACCATGAGACACCTCAATGTTACTGCCTTTACAGCCGTGGGCGTGCACATGAGGAGGCGTTTGGCCCAGTCTCAACATTCACACTGAGGCCATTTCCTAGAATCCGCCACAGCCTGAGCAAGTGTTCGGCCCTTGCGACAAACTCTTCCTCCTCCTCCTCCTCCTCCTCAACCTCCCCCTCCTCGTCCTCCTCCTCCTCCTCCTCATCCTCCTCCTCCTCCTGCTGCTCCTCCTCCTCCTCCTCCTCCTCCTCCTCCTCCTCCCCCCTCCCCCCTCCAACCCTGCCTCCCTCCCTCCCATCCCTGCCACCGCGAGCTGGACGGAGCTGATGGGCTGCGGCGCCGCCGGGGACAGGGGCAGAGGGCCAGCCCACCAGGCCTCGGCAAGGGGGGGCGGGGGAGGCAGCGCTGCAGCGGGCGCGCGATTCGGAACGCGCGGAAGCGCGGAAACGAGGCCAGCGCTGCAGCAAAAGCACGACTCGGAACGAGCGGTAGCCCGAAAATGAAGCCAGCGCTTCAGCGAGAGCAGCATTTTTTATACACGTAAAGCGGAAGCGCGGAAATGAGGACGCGTAGCCTGACAAGGCACGGCGTGGCGACGCCCCAGAAAGGTGGGGCTAACGCGGCCGCCAAAATCAACGATTCGACACCAAATGTGTAATCCCTTCCGGATTTCCGGGAGGGGGCATTTCTAGAAGTTTGAAGCCATTGGGAAGGACCGAAAACCCAAAGGGGGGCGGAGGAGGGAAAATGAGGGGGCCGACAACGATCAAAACGGACTCGGGTCCAGAAGATTAGCCAACGCTGAAGCCAGAGCGCCATTCTGACCGACGAGCGCGCCGCGCCGATCCGGAAATGAGGCCCCCGCTGCAGCTGGAGTACCAGCTTGGAATAGCGGCAACAACCATACAGTCGAGGCGTTGACCTAAGGAACCCTAAATAAGGAACGAGGCCTCTTTTTTCCATAAGTTAAACTTCGATTTCCCATCGAAAACTTAAGGAAAACCTTAGGCAAACTGTAGAACAATCAGGGAACACCGAGCCCCTCCCCAACGAAAAGGGTTCCTTCTTCAGGGCCCCGACTGTAATGCAAAACACATAGGAAAAAAAAGAACGCGGCACAATCCTGAGATTGAAACACAAGTCGCGGAGGGGGGGCCAGCGATTTTCCGGACAGGGTCAGGGGAGAGAGGAGCGATATTGTGAGATAGTCGAGGGCGGGAGGCAAACTAGGTGCCCGAAGCTGGGGGGGGGGGGGAAGGGCGAGGGAAAGGCGAGGGGTGGAAGGGCGAGGTGGGGGGGAGGCATGCCGGGCGCGCTCGCGACATATTTGACATCCTGCCCTCCCGCCCATCCCGTCCATTGCGCTGGCTATTCCCGATCCGCCGTCGGATGTTATAGCGGACCTGGAACCTTCAAAATGACCTCCATCGTGTTATGCGCAGTCAGAAGAGGGGAGGAGGAGGAGGAGGAGGAGGAGGAGGAGGAGGAGGAGGAGTCTGACAAGCGAGACGATGAGGAGGAGCAGGACCAGGAGTAGGAGGAGCGGGAGGAGCAGAAGGACCAGCGGAGCGGGGCGAGAACGACGACGAAGGACTCGGATCCAGAATTGTGGCGCGCACTGGGGCGAGAGCCTTCCGACTGAGGAAGCGAAGCGTCGATCCCAAAACGAGGCCACCGCCGCAGCGGGAACACCGCTTTGATACACCGGATGCGTTCTGATCGAACACAAGTCATTTTGAACTCCATCTTCGCGGGTATACTGACATACAACACGCTAGCGTCTCACTATGCGGGAACCGGGAGAGAACGGGCCCTGGGGAGAGAGGAGAATAGAGCTCATGTTGAGTACGTACTTGTGCAGGGGTGAAGAGGGGGAGGGGAGGGGTAATAGCGAGGAGAGCGGGGGAGTTCGCTGTAATGTCGCAGTGCGTCAGAGAAGAAAGGGGGGAGAGGGAAGGGAGAATGAGGGAGGGGGGAGGGCAGGAGGGAGGAGGTGAGAGTGAACTACAACCCTCGTCAAAATTAACCTCAAAAATGTCTGACGTGGTTGAACTGCTTGTCGGAAGATCTGGGGCCGAGTATCGATGAGTGCGGGGTACCTGCATGCGCCGCCCCTCCAATGTCGGTCGACGTCAAACATTCGAGTCAACTTCGGTCAGACTATCTTTGCCCCCGCCCCGACATTGAAGGGGCGGCGTGTCGACATTGAGGGGCGCGCCGAAATCGAAATGACGTGCCAGCAACCGTTGAGGTTGATTTTGACGAGCGTAGTAGGGGGAACCGAACGTTGGGGAACGGGGGCGCGGGGAAGGAGGGCGGAGGACGCGGAGGCCGAGGCGGAGCCCCAGGGGGGGCGGCGAGCAGGCCCGCCAGGCCTCGCTGGGGCCAGGGCCGTCGTCGTAGTCGTCCACCTCGACGCAGCCGACCTTGGGAGGGGCAGGGCACGGAGGACACGACGAGAACGTACAAGGGGAGGGGGTATAAAGGAGAAGAGAAGGAGGAGGTTTGAGGAGGAGGAGGAGGAGGAGGAGGAGGAGGAGGAGGAGGCGGAGGAGGAGGAGGCGGAGGAGGAGGAGGAGGAGGAGGAGGAGGAGGAGGATGGGGGGGGAGGAGGAGAAGAGACGGTGACGAGGGCGTGCGTTTGGGAGCGGCCTGCAAAGCACAGCGCGATGAAGGGAGCGGCGGGAGAGTGGAGACTGCGGCTGGAGCGCGCGAGGCGCAAGTCGCATGGGGCGGAAGTTCGGGCGGCTCCCTGCGCACGGGGCCCTGGTCATGTGGCCCCGTGGAGCCCCGAGTGCGCTGTCATAGCGCCGAAGGCATCCTGCTCGCACCACTTGTTGAAAAAAATACCACCGCGCGGGCCCTCTGCGGGAGTGCGCTCTACGGGACGCAGTGCGCGGGAGGGGGGGCGCGCACGCGCGCGCGCGCCGCGGGGTGACGCGGACGGGGCGCGCGGGGACCGGGGGGAACTGCCAAGGGCCCGCACGGCGGTGGTGCGCTGCAGCCAAGGCCAGCGATGGGGCGCAGGGTGTGGGCCCAGCGTCAGACGGGCCGAGAGGTGCCCTGCCTGCTGCGGCTCGGGCCGGGCGAAAGGGGGGGATAGCAAAGGGGGGGGGGTGAGAATCCGCTCGCTGGCTGATTTTCCCGGCGCCTCCCGGCGCCGGGAGGCGCCCATGTGTCGAGGAGTGGGCCCAGCGGCGGGGCCGGAACCAGCTGCATGCAGCAAGTTTCGTACCCCCACACACCTTTCCCTATCCCCCCCCTCTCGTTCGGGCCGAGCGGCCCGAGAGGCCCCCAAGGAGAGGCCCCTCCAGGAGGCCCCCGAGACGAGCCCCCTCCTGGGGCCCCCGCGAGCCGAGGCAGCGCGGTCGAGTCGAAGAGCCGCTCGAGCTCTCGGACTTCGCGCTGGCTTGCAGCGGGTCTCTCAGCTGGCAGCGGGCCCCGCGGGACGGCACGCGCAGCCGAGCCGGGACGGCACGCGCAGCCGAGCCGCCGGGCCCTCCCAGCGAGGGGGGGGCGGGGCCGCGGGGGGCACCCGGCCTCCGCGCTCGCGGGCCCCGCCGGCTTGCAGGGGAGATCGGGTGGGAGAGGGGGGGGGGGAAGGGAGGAGGAGAGGAGGGGAAGGGTGGTGGAAGGGGATGGGCGCGAGCGAGGGGGAGGCGGAGAAAGGGGGGGGGGGGAGTGAGGGAAAGGGCATGGGAGGGAGCCAGGATGGACCGCGAGAGGAGGAGGAGAAGCGAGGGGGGGCGGAAGGAAGGGCCCCGCTTCCTACGTAGTCCCCTCCCTGCTGCCCCACATCTCCCCTCCGCTCCCTCCCGCCGCCTGCTGCGCGATCAAGATCTGCTGGTCGATCACGCTGTCCAGGATGCCTCGCTTACGACATGCGTGCTCCCGCCTGCATCCCTCATCCCTCGCGCTCCTGCCCTCACTCCCTTTCCCCACCACGGTTCTCCACCTCTCAATCATGGTGTCTTTCACACTCCTCGCTCCTAGTCCTCCAAGCCCTGTCCACCCTCCCTTCCCACGCCACCCTCCCCAGAGTGTGGCACCCGGCAAGGCCAGATTCAGACGCGAAGCGCTGCTGCCGATTCGATCACAATCACGCTTCAAACAGGGAAGAACCCGGAAGAACATCTGCATGTGAATGTAGATACACGTCGGTCGGATGAAGTAGGTCGAAAAAACATGAAGTAGGAAGGCTGATAAAAGTAGGTTGGGTCCAGGCCCTCTCAGAGAATAGCAAAACACAGGAACAACATGCCGATTCTTGAAGCATGAAGGAGCTAGAGGTAGAGCGGGACCAGGTAGTCCAAAAACACCTACGTTCAACGACCGACGAGTGTTTCTATGTATCTAGCACAGCCGTAGGAGCCTATTTGCGCCTGCCAGAGATGTGACATACTGTTCACAGACCTGCCCAAAATCCGTCCGCCGCATTGCCGCTAGGCACCAAGTTGGGTGCCCTCAGGCGCTCAGTTAAGCGTCCTCAGGTGCCTTTGAATTCTCGAACTCTTTGAGAGGGCCCGAAACCCCAAGTCGCAGATCTCCTGGGGCGTTCCGTATTAAAAAAATAGTCGACGGGCCCCTAGGCAGGCCAACAGAGGGGCTCGAGAAGGCTCAACAGCGCACGAAGACGCCCAAGATGGCCTCAAGACGCCCCAAGAGACGCCCAAGACGCGCCGCCGAGTGGGCACCAGTGGGACCCCAAAGCGGACGCCGAGGGGCACAAAGCCAAAGCGGTCTCGCTCTTGCAAGCTTCAGCCTGCCCAAGACGGCCCGAGAAGCCTCCAAGATCCTTCCAACAGGGCCCAGGAGGCTTCCAGGCGAACTGGGGGCGCCACCGTTCTTAAAGGCTCTTGACGACAGTGCCATTCCAAAGTTGGCCGATAGAGCTCGGGCCCCCCTGCCTCAGAAGATTGGCAGAGAGTGGAGGGCGGAAGGAAGAAGGCGGATTGTGGAACAAGGGGGACTGGAGAGGATAGACGCGAAATGACAAGTCACGACTGGAGAGAAAGGATGATGAGGGAGGAAAACGAAAGAGCGAGGAATCTGCATAATACATAACGGAAAACATATGTAGACAGGGGGAATAAGTGCATGGAGGTAGTGATGAGGAAGGTCGGAGGGGGAGGATAGAGGAGCAAAAGGAAAGCAGGAAGGAAAGGGGAGGACAGGAAGACCGCAGGAAGGGAAGGGTGCATCGAGAGTTGGTTAGCTTCGAAGGAGACTGGCGGAGCCGAGGATAGGATACGTAAGGGAAGAGGGAGAGAGGCAGGATCGAGAAAAGAGGGAGACAACCGATAAGGAGATTAGCTGAGCTGCGCCATCATTCACCATGCAAGCAGCCTGCTCACATGATGGCAGGGGGAAAGCAGAGGAGGAATCTGATAAACACATGGGGGAAGCAAAGATGAGGAAACGAGGCCGAGGGAGGCGAAACGCATTTGTTTACGATGGGGCAGGAGGAAATGAAAACGGACGAGAGGGACGGCATCAGAAAACGAGGACGAAACGCGGACAAGAAACGTTACGCATCCGATGGCGAGCAAGAGCCGACGAGGGCCATGAGGAAGAGGGCCGCTTCGCAGGCGCGGCCTTGGCGGGGCTCGAGCACCGCCTGCGGCAAGCACCCGTCCTCGTCGTCGTCCCCCGAGCCGCAGGTCCACATCATCGCCTGACCAGGTCTGGCTCTGGGCAGCAGGCTAAACTTGAGGGCGGGAAAGGCAGCGGTAGGTGGAGAGGCGGGAAGGGGGGCGGGAGTCGGGTATGGCGACAGAGTCGTTTACTTACCGATCGGATGAACTGACTACCCCGTGGCGTCCTGCTGGCCAGCTCGGCATTACCACGAACTTCGGGCCACAGGCCTCGGGATAATCTATCGAGGAGGTAGTCCTTCCGATTGCCAGCGAAGGACTCAGAACACGCATCACCGAGGGGATGGGGTATCGATGGATGATGGATGGATGGAGCGCCAGGGGGGCAGCGTCTGACAGTCCGCTGCCAAAACTAGGGATGCTTCCAGCACGCTACGGAGTGCACCCTGCGTGACTGTGGAAAGAGGAGCGAGGGTTAGAAGCGGCCAGCGGTCTGGACTGGCTGGGGCCCAAGAAAGTTCTCCGGGAGAAAAGACGAAGCCACATCCCCGCGAAATCGGCCCCCGACCCACCCCCTGGGGTCCATCCGGTACAAACTTCCGCCCCAAATCCGTTACGGTCCTGGAGCCCGAGAACGGCCCTGGGAGGCGAAAGTGTGGGGCCCCGTCAAACCCCGAGACGGCTCCAAGGCCAGGGGGGGAGGGGAGAGGGAGAAGGGAACGGGGAGGGAGGGGGGGAGGGGAGAGGGAGGGGGGGAGGGGAGGGGAGAGGGAGAGGGAGGAGGGGAGAAAATGAGGAGAAGGGGGGGAGGGGAGAGGGAACGGGGCGGCGGCCAAGGCGCCCGAAGGCGCCCGCCAGACCACTCCAAATCGTGACCCAGTTGTTGAGGAAGACCGTGGTTCGCAGCAGGGTCCTCGTCCGCCTCCCTTCGCCCCTCGCTCTCCTCCTCCTCCTCCTCCTCCTCCTCATCCCTTGTTCACAAATGCTCAATCTGAATACTACTTTCCTCTCTCCCCCGATAACGTCTTGAGATCGGCGCGCCCCCATCCGCGCATTGTTTTTGAAAATGGAAACCCCCAAAGGCCTTCAGAAGGCACCCAGGAGGCTGCCCTGGGGCCCCTAAGAAACCCACAACAAGCTGTCGTGAGGCCCCAGGGAGCTCTCCTGGGAGGAGCCTCCGCCAACGAAAAGCTGAGGACGGTGAAGGCTTCGCAGGGAAGGGCGAGAACGAGGAAGAAGCAGCACGAAGGAAGACCACATAACGGCTGTAAAACGACGATGACGATGGCTGCAACAAGGAGCTGTACTTGTTACCCGAACGGCGCTTGCACTGAGGGGTTATTACTTTTCTTTTGTGATTACGGCAGCTTCGCGTCGTGTCGACTTCGGCGTTGGTTTCTGACACCGCGGGGATCGTTCAACCTTGAACGATCGGCCGTTTCCGAAACGTCCAAATCGTTCCACATCGAGCGACTCCGGATCGCCCGCGGCGTTCAACGTTGAACGCCCCTGGCGGGGTCGCCGCCAGTCGACACGACACGAACCTACCGTACTTTTTCCTTTGTGGAAAACTGGATGTGTTTGTTTTCTTTTGTGATTACAGTCGGGGCGTTGACCTAAGGAACCCTAGATAAGGAGCGAGGCCCCTTTTCTCCACAAGCTAAGCTTCGAATTCCGATCGAAGACCTGAGGACAACCTAAGGCGAGCTGCAAAACAACTGAGGAACACTGAGCCCCTCCCAAACGAAAAGGGTTCCTTCGTCAGCGCCCCGCCCATACTTTTCTCCTCTGTGAAAAACTGGATGCGTTACCCCCGATGATCCGGGGCTCTGAGCTGTACTTGCTAATTGCCCGAACGGCGCTTGCGCTGAGGGGTTCTGACTTTTCTTTTGTGATTACAGTCGGAGCGTTGACCTAAGTAACCCTAGATAAGGAGCGAGGCCCCTTTCTCCATAAGCTAAGCTTCGAATTCCGATCGAAGACCTGAGGACAACCTGAGGCGAGCTGCAAAACAACTGAGGAACACTGAGCCCCTCCCACACGAAAAGGGTTCCTTCGTCAGCGCCCCGCCCATACTTTTCTCCTCTGTGAAAACCTGGATGCGTTACCCCCGATGATCCGGGGCTCTGAGCTGTACTTGCTAATTGCCCGAACGGCGCTTGCACTGAGGGGTTCTGGCTTTTCTTTTGTGATTTCCTTATAACAGGACTTTAAACAGGTGTGTTAATACTTGCACGCGAGAGATTAACTTGCATTCGCTGCGACATGTTGCAAACTAGCACGCGCAAAACTGAACGCTCTTCAAATCAGCATTTATAATATTAACTCCTGGGGTCTATTGGGTCCTTTGTGCACAACTGGATGCGTCTCGCGGGCTTTCGGCCGGTGCCCGGCTGCTGTGGGCGCCCGTGGGCGCCTCGTGGGCGCCCCGCGCCTGGCGGGCTCCGCCGGGTGGCCCCCCCGCGCCCGGGTTTGGGTCGGGCAGGTCCCCCTACAGGCGGATCCTGGACGAAGAATAAAACATGCCCAGAAAATAATCAACAGATGCTCAAAAATAATCACAAAAGTCGTCCCCCAAGATGCTCTGAAATAGTCAGAACAATAATCAACAGGTGCTCTGATGCTCAGATGCTATGGGCGGATTCTGGACGAAGCAAAAAGCATGCCCAAAAAATGATCCACAGATGCTCAGACAAAAATCATACAACATCGTCCCCCTACTATTTTTTGACCATTGTTGGGTATTCCTCCTGTGGAGGGGTAGGCCCGACTTTAGGGGAACAAAAGGTGACATAAACGTAACAACTCGGAGGTCCGCCCGGCTTTCTCGGAACGGCGCTCGACCCCCCTCCCTGGCGCGCGGAGCGCGCCAGGGGCGGCACCGGAGGCGCCGCCAGGGGGCCCGAGCGCCGATCCGAGAAATTCCGCGCGGACCTCCGAGTTTTTATGTCTATGTCATTCTTCGTTTCCCAAGACTTAGAGCTGGCTCCCAGAGGCGCCTCGTCGACGCCCCGCGCTCGGGTGGGCTTCCAAGGCTTCGAGAATAATCAAACACAGTCGCCCCCTTACTAAGTTTTGCCTATTTTTGAGTATGCCTCCCGTGGAGGGGTAGGCTCGACTTAGAGCTGGCTCCCAGAGGCGCCTCGTTGACGCCCCGCGCTCGGGTGGGCTTCCGAGGCTTCGAGGAATAATCAAACACAGTCGCCCCCGTACTAAGTTTTGCCTATTTTTGAGTATGCCTCCCGTGGAGGGGTAGGCTCGACTTAGAGCTGGCTCCCAGAGGCGCCTCGTCGACGCCCCGCGCTCGGGTGGGCTTCCAGGCTTCGAAAATAATCAAACACAGTCGCCACCGTGCTAAGTTTTGCCTATTTTTGAGTATGCCTCCCGTGGAGGGGTAGGCTCGACTTAGAGCTGGCTCCAGAGGCGCCTCGGTCGACGCCCCGCTCGCTCGGTGGCCCTTCCGAGGCTTCGAGAATAATCAAACACAGTCGCCCCCGTACTAAGTTTTGCTATTTTTGAGTAATGGCCTCCGTGGAGGGGTAGGCTCGACTTAGAGCTGGCTCCCAGAGGCGCCTCGTTGACGCCCCGCGCTCGGGTGGGCTTCCGAGGCTTCGAGAATAATCAAACACAGTCGCCCCCGTACTAAGTTTTGACTATGTTTAAGTATGCCTCCCGTGGAGGGGTAGGCTCGACTTAGAGCTGGCTCCCAGAGGCGCCTCGTTGACGCCCCGCGCTCGGGTGGGCTTCCGAGGCTTCGAGAATAATCAAACACAGTCGCCCCCGTACTAAGTTTTGCCTATTTTTGAGTATGCCTCCCGTGGAGGGGTAGGCTCGACTTAGAGCTGGCTCCCAGAGGCGCCTCGTTGACGCCCCGCGCTCGGGTGGGCTTCCGAG